AAAAAAAAAAAAAAAAAAAAAAAAAAAAAAAAAAAAAAAAAAAAAAAAAAAAAAAAACAATACTACATTAATACTAATATAGGACATGTATTATTATCGATAGATAATCTTTGATACAGTTATACAATAGTTTTTCCTAACAATTTTCATTTTAGCATTTATCATTTTTTAAAATCATATTTTGCAATATATGCATTATAATAATTCACTTATGATTCTATTAATAATAGGTTATATATGTACATATGCATGAAAAGCATTGATACAAAGAATAAAATATTTACAATTGAGTGAAAAATTGTATCAAATCATAAATATTTTAATTTAATAATTTTTAAGCTGTACTTGTACTTATCAACTTTAACAAAGTGTTTTATTAGAGGTGATAATAAGGATAATAATGAACATTTAAATAAAGTTTTAAAATATATATATATATATATATATATATATATAAATAATTGCTAGATTATATGTATACTAACTTGCATCACGAATTTAGTTTCTAATAAATCATATGTACGCATGTGCCGATTGAATGGAAAGTTGCACGCATACATTGATATAATAAATAGATAAATTAAAAAAATATTTTGTTATATCTTATAATTCATTCATATAACGGAAAAAGATATTTAATGTATACGATATAATAATATTAACCGTAATATATAGTATATAGTGCAATTAGATTAGTATCAAGTACATATATTTATTTGTATAATCTTAAGATTATTTTTTTGAATAAGTTTTATAAATTACAAAATACATAACGCTAAGGTATATTTATTGAGAATGTGTTTCATTTGATCATGTTTGCCATTTGATTTTCATTTTAGAAAAATTGCATCATTTGTAACAAATTATAGATCATAATAGTAGAAATCTACAAATTTCAAAGTACAAACATAGTATAAACTTTTAACTACAAAAATAGATACACGCTTTTTCTATTTACTATCTGTTTTTTGTTTCTTTCATACTTCCACTCTCTTTTTGTTTTGCTTCTATTTTCATTATATTACATCTTTTTATAATATTTTAATATCTTGATTTAATGTGAAAAACTAATTTAATAAGACTAATTACATCTAATAATTTCTATCCTATTCGACATAATATCCAAGCCATAACTTGATCACTGCTGTCCTGTATTTACCATAGAGATTACAGACAGTGAATTAATGCCTTCTCTTTCTCCTCTTTTTCTGCTTTCAGCATTTAATGTAATGGATAACATAACGCATAATTGTCCAACTGTGATTCCATGTTGAAGAATCGTTGATAAAGCAAGGCTAATTTTCTTTTATATTATTTTTAATTCTCAAGAAAATGGATTACTTTTTCTCTTTAGCGATCCAAACCGTTTTTCAGGTTCTCTGATTACTTCAAAAGGCGCAATTTTTGTATTCCTAATTTGTTTTTCTTCATTCTCATCGCTTGGGAAATCTTCGAAACTCATGTTACTAAAACCAGCGGCTGTGCTCACTACAGAATATTTTTTTATTCTTGAAGTTTTTTTACTGTAACCTATCGATTTAGTTTTATGACTCAATCTCGATGATGATAAAATATCACTAACATCATTGTGATTTTCATTGATTAAACGATATTTCGATTTCTCTGATTTGATAAATTTATCTCTTTTATGTCTTGGTACATCATGATCATCAGTAACTACCAATGGTTCAGGTGACATAGGCGAAACAATATCTGGTATAACATCTGGTTTCGATACACTATTCACTGTTTGAACGGTAATTCGTGCGGTATGTTGAACCGGTTTAATAGTATATACCTCTTGTAAAATAGATGTAGATTTAATAGCAGTGGTAGCATCTGGTGATAGTATTTTATTCAATAGTAATGTATTGTCCCCAATTGATCCTCTAAAACTTGGTGACTGTAGTTGTGGCTCTTGTGTCACTGATCGTGATGATGATGGCTGAATAAATGGAATCTCATTTTTCTTTTTTAACAAGTCACATTTCTCTTTCTCATTCAATTGTAAATATGTAAATTCATCAAACGGAACGGAACCAAAAAGATCTTTTGAAACATTCGTAAATGTATTCGAATATTTATCGCTCGCAGAAATATTATCAAATTTTGAATTTGATATTATTTTTGTAGATGAGGAGACAATATTAGCTTGTTGAATATTTGATGAAGATTGTAGAGTACGAATAGAAGCAAGAGACGATTGTTGAAATTGACTGTTTACTACAAAACTATTTGGACTAAATGGCGATGAACCAAATAAATCTTTTTCTATATTTTCCTCTTCTTCCATTTCTTCTTTTTTTTCATTCTCTTTCTCATTTTCTTCTATTTCTTCTTTTTTTCCTATCCTATATTCTTTTTTTTCTTCGCTTTTATCTTCTTGTCTAATTATCTCTAATCTTTCTTCTTCTACTCTTCCATTGTCTTTCATATATTCTTCCATTTCTATTTTTTTTTGATCTTGAATGTTTTTTTCTTTTTCAAAGTCTCGATGAGTTTTAATTAAAGTTATCTCGATTGATGATTGCTGATTATTTTTTTCCAAAAAATCAACATTTATCTTTTCTTTTGCAACACTTGTGTATTTTTGATATGAATTACACTTTGAAAGTGATTTGCTTTTCAAATTTGTTGATTCCTCAGAAACTCTTGAGTTAAAAATAATGGGAACTACAGTTTTAAATTCATTTTTCTCTTGACAATCGTTACTTTTTTTTAAATAACTTGATGATCTTGGAAAAGGAGCCAAAGCAAA